GCCCCGTGGAAGACGCCTAGTTGCGTAGAGAGTGTGCAATTTTGAGAGGCGGCAGAAAACGACCAGAGCCAATGAGGCATTTGGCTCTGGTGGCATATGTCGGCTTCTACTCAACGAAACCCTCAGCATCCACATATCAATCTGCTCAGAATCATATGGGAATCCAGATGACAACTGTGCAACTTTCATAATTTCCATCATAACGAATTATTCCCTATCTTCTCTTGATTTTCACTACTCAAGGCTATTTGACGTACATGCTCCTATAGTTCAATTCTAAGTCAAAATAACTATTACTTCCCACGATGCATGCCTTTTGAAGTTCTTAGACATATCAACTGCTTTGAAAGAAATAGTTATTGGGCGAATTCATCACTTACTTCTCACACTTTGTGGCCTTTTCAACCCCACCTTCTATCTTCTACACTGCACCTTTTCATTTTTCATGGAGAAAACTCTCCATTCTCATCTTCCTATCCACAATTCTTATGTACTACGATATCTCAATCTTGATTCGTTAACAAAGTGGAAGGGGTTTCGTCCCAATCCTTGACTTACTCAAACTACCTTTGGTGAGGGTCCTACCCTTTCTTTGCTCATTAGTGAAGGTGACCAGAGCCGTGGCTCTATGTATCTAACCTACAACTATCAGAGATTGGCGCTTTCTCCTCCTCCGCGTTCTTCATCGCAGTGTCAGAAACCACAAAAGACAGCCTCTATGGGCTTTTCGGTAAGTAGATAATGTAGCTGAATAGTAGGTAGTAAAAAAGTATTTGGAGAGGTTTTATAAAGATGGAAAACCCAACTAGAATTATACGACTTTCAACTTGGGCTCTGAGTTTAGAATATAGAGAAGTGAAAAGTTGAACTCCAGGAAATACACATGGTATACTAAACCAGAAGATGAATCTTTTTTCTTCCAATGAGAGTTGTATCTCTCTGAAGGGAGTTGACGAGCCATCATGGCACCAGGATATATGCAACTTGAATGAAATAGAAGATCTTCGAAGGAGTTCTTTTGAGGAGCGGATGCCGCTAAAATGTAAATCCAAATGACTTATGGTGTAAATCGCTCAATATCACTGTAGGCAATGAATGGCCACGAGAAGGGTAACACATTTATGTCATGGAGACAAGAATGCCGCAGCAAACGTTAGGTAACACTTTGGGAAAGTACGCTAGCAATGGCTGACCTGATAAAACTTAGGATAGGCAAACATTATTCTTTGAATTGAGGTGTGTAAAGATGTTCGACTAGTTAGGCAGACCTTGAGCGAGCAAAAAATGCTAGAAAAAATGCAAAAATTTTGGTAAGAGATTGAGACAAGCCATGCGGTTGAAAACCTGTGATGAATTTCTGTGAAGTGCCGTTGTGAATAAGAAGAGCTTTTTCACGCTCATATACTCCACAAATTTGAATGAGTTTGAAGCCATCTCTTTCACTTCCATTTCACCTTCGCTATTTGGTAT